AGTTCCCCTACATCAGAGAGTATCCACGTGATCCTGCTAGTCTTTCCCCTGAGTACATCAGCCTCTTCTACAAGGATGAGCAGCCAGCTGGAAGGCATTTGGATAAGCTTGCTCAGGTGCTGTCGCGTGTGTGTGTTCGAAGCACAAGCAAATTGCTGAGGGATGCAGCAGTGAAGCCATCCCCCAAGCCTTGCAATCAGAATGTCCCTGTCATCACTGACCAAGGAGACTCAATGCAACACATGTTCCAGCATGCAATGACATCCATGTTTGCCAACATGTTCAATTCCCAATTGCAGAGTACACATGCAACTGGCAACAGAGTCATGCCTAATTTGAAGATGCTGTCACCCAGGAAGCAACTTGCAATCGCTGCAGGGAAAGATGCTGAAGACGATGAACATGGTGTTCCCCCTGTCGCCCATGCAGCTCCTGCCTTGCCAACTCACCAGACTGAGGCATTCAAACCTAAGGTGAGGGTGACCTTTGCAGACCAACATCAACCCAAAGATCAGACCATTGACATTGCCATGGAGGATTCTGCAAAAACAAGGCCTTTCAATGATCAGTCATCAGGGTCTCAAGGTTCTCAGGGAGAAGGGGCATCAAGATTTGAAGAGCAAGCGTTCAACCTCTTGAAGGAAAGGGCTGATAACAAGAAGGGCGTGATCAAGGCTATACTGAAGAGGCCAGCAGCTTCATCTCCACCACCTCCAAGGCCTACTTTGCCTGAGTATGAGCCTGGCAAGGATTGCAAGGGCACAAGCTTGAAGAACTGGACAAGCAAGCATTATCACAAGGCCAAGCTCCTTGCTAAGAAACAAGAGGCCAGTGCAGAGGAGGTGCTTGAATACGCAAGGAAGGCTTCAAAGAAAGCCTCCATCATTTGGAATGAAATCAACGGCTGATGACACATCAATATACAAAGGACCCTTTTTTCCAATTCAAATGATTTAACAGCTCATGTGTGATTCTTTGTTGCTGCATGCCACCAATGTTGCAAATACAAAAGGATGTGTTGATTTGCTGAAGTCATCAAGCTTGAGGCATAGTGCCAAGTCCCTGGCCAAAGAGTATTAGACCAGATTGTAGCATGTGGTGCATGGATTGCAACAGCTGCTGCCTGGAGTCAAAACAATGCTGTGCACACCTGCCACATGCAATCAGTGTTTGAAAGTACATGCATGCTTCAAGCAGGTGTGGCCCAATCTAGAGACAGTGTGGTGATTGCCAAACTTGCACTGTGGATGACCAGGTGGAAGAAAGCATCACAAGTGTTGAAGCAGTGTGCAAGCAGGTTTTCAATCAGCTTTCATGTGTTTGGTACACGCACGCCCTTATAACCTTTAGCTTGTCCTTTCCACTAGCTAAACTTGAGCTTGGCCGTTTTCACTTGTAACTTGCATATAGCTACTTGCATCACTGTTTTCTGCATTTGCTTTCGTTCAACATGGAGACCGAGCGGGCAGCCAAGCTGCGAAGGCTTAATCAGATGAGGAGGTCTTTGCCCTATGTTTCAGCATCAGCTTTGTCGAGTGTTCTACAGGACGTGGAGGAGCAAGGGGTGCCAGAACTGCATGGCAGAAAACACATGAAGGAGGCCTCTGAAAAAGCTCTGGCAGATCACAATGCTTATGGTGATCTTATTGACAGCATTCCAATGGTCCACAAGGATGGAGGCACAAAGATGATGCTTGTGATCAATTTCCTGTCCCTGCTGCAGGCAGCATTTTATGAGGGGGAGGGCTTCTGTCAGTTGATATTGGATGCTTTGAAGACCAGCCCTTGCTCCATTGATGCACCATGGGACTTGATTTATTACACAGATGAAGTTACACCAGGAAATCCACTGTCAGCTGAAACATCCCGCAAGATCCAAATGGCTTACCTATCATTCTTGCAGCTTGGTGCAGTGGCATTGTCAAAAGAGGAGTCATGGTTTTGTGTGCTTGCAAAGAGGTCTTCAATAGTGGCAGACATGGAAGCAGGCATGAGTCAGGTTACAAAAGGGCTCCTGAAGTACATCTTCAAGCACCCAGCCTGTGATGTTCAACAAATAGGGTTGCTCCTCAAAGCCAAGAATGGTGCCAAGGCAAGATTGTACTTCAAACTGGGGATCTTCCTACAAGATGGGGCCGCCCATAAACATGTGTTTTCTTGCAAGGGTGATGCAGGAACAAAGTTCTGCCTTCTTTGCACCAATTTGGTTAGCGCAAAAAGCGGGCTTGCCGACCAAGACGGGGAAGATCTACTAACCTGCTCAAGTTATAGCTTGAACGAGATTGTTTTAGCAACTGACAGCGACATCGCTGGGACGTGCCAAAGGCTTCTGGAGAGGCATGCCACTATGTCCAAGACTGACTTCACATTGTGGCAGCAGGCTGTGGGGTTCACCTTCAATTCCCATGCCCTTCTATTTGACAATGAGATGAATGACATTGTGAAACCCATATCTCAGTTTCTTCACGATTGGATGCACATGATCCTGGTGAAAGGTGTCTTCCAGACCATCCTGCACCTCCTGATGAGCACCCTGAAAGATCACAAGGTTGATGCCTACACTATGTTTTCCCAGTGTGTGGAGCTTTGGCACCTGCCCTCTGCAAAGTCAGACAACTTGAAGGTGCTCTTTAGCAAGAAGAGAAAGGATTCCAACAATGAGGCAAACACTTTTAAATGCACAGCTTCTGAAGGATTGTCAATGTACCCAATTTTGGCTTACTTTGTGCAGCATGTCCTGATGGTCAGTGGGCTATGCCAACCTGAATGCAAGGCCTTCCTGCTACTTGCAGATGTCATGGACATGCTGGCCTCTGTCCACATGAACATCATCACCCCTGATATGTTGCAGCGGTCTATTGATTCCTTTTTGCAAGCGTGTATTGCATGTGGCTGGGGCAAACATCTTCATCAGAAATTTCACTGGGTTTTACATCTCCCTTCTCATTTGCACAAATTCAAGCTTCTACCAGCATGTTGGGTACAAGAGCGAAAGCACAAATGTGTGAAGCGGTATTCTACTGCAATTTCCAACACAACAATTTTTGAAAGATCTGTACTGGTTGAAGTGATCTGTCATGACCTTGCTGCCATTCAAGACCCATTGGTGTTCAAAGAAGGCCCGCGTTTATTGAAGAACTCCAAGGTGACGAAGAAAATGAAGGCGCTGCTTGAGTCTATGGGGCAAAATGTCACTGAAGATTGCTACAGCTGCGCCACTGCTGTGTTACACCCTGCTGGACTCTGTCACAAAGGCGATGTCGTCTTGATGAGAGGCCCATCTCAGGTAAATGCTGGCCAAGTCTGGATCCATGCGTTTTTCAACGGGGTGTGCATGACTTTGATGAGCAAATGGAAATTGATCTCTTACAACGCTTCAAATGGGTTCGCCGTGTTCAAGCAAGAAGATCATGCTGAGTTTGTGGCAACTTTGGACATATATGCATCTACCACTTGGAGTGTTCATGAGCCAACTGTATGCAAGGTCCTTGTGCCCTTGGCATTCAGAAACTGAATTGTCATCTGGACACCTGTCTCACACAATGCAGCCGTGGTGGAAAACAAGACAAGCGCTTCATGCAAGCTTGCTTGCGCACATTGACCATGACTTTCATGTTGAGCATGTGGTTGACCAAACACAATCCAGCCATCCTTGCAACTTGTGATGCTGTGTTTGCAACCAAGCTCTTGCACACAAGGTTTTTTTCTTGTCAAAGCTAGAAAAAAAGCTACATGTAGGAGTTAGCTAAGTACTTAGCTAAACCGGCTAACCTAGTAGCTAAGTCCTTAAGTTAAGTGATTAGCCTAACCCTTGTAACAGCTTAGCAACCTTTTGGCAACTCGCCTAAGTAGTCCTAAGTTCTAGCAAGTTCACAGCTCATCCAAGTACTGCGCCTGCCACGAAATTCCAACGAAAAGCTCCAAAGTGCCGCGCCTGCCACAAAATTAAAGCAAAACACTCTAAAGTGCTGCGCCTGTCACACAAAGTCAGCTTGCCACGAACTCAAACTCATCCAAACTGCTGCGCCTGCCACGAAATCCAACTTTGACACGTTTACGACACGCATCCAAAACTAGCACGGGACTGTGGCGCCAGAATGATTTCGACCCATTTTGACATGTTTCAAGCTCGCCAAAACGAGCCGGTTGTACGACAGGGCCAACGAAAAGTACACTCGAGGAAACGCTTGCGCGCGCATTCCAAGCAAAACACCTCAAAACGTCGACCCCTGAAAAGCAAATCACAATGGATTTGCAACGCAAAAGCGAACCTTCACAAAACACTGCGCCTGCGCAGCAAAACTACGTCTGACATCCTAAGAGCTACGATTCTCGCACAGGGGCACGAAAAATGACACGCTTCAAGTCATCCAGACAGCACGTTTTTCGCTTTCCTCACTGGAGCTGCGAGCGCGACACTCGCGAACACATACGGACGATTGAGGACGTAATTCAACGACTCCTAACCCCCCAGACCCCCGACCTCTAAACGCAAACCCTTCTGCTACGCATTCGGGAAAGCGGGCTCTGGAAGCTGGACACTTTGCAAATGTATGAAACTTACCTGGAAGTCTCCATGAACCCGTTCTGAAACTTCCTGCAGCTCTTGAGACTTCCCCCCCCCCCTGGAACGCTCTGGAGACCTGCAACCCTTTGATGCATTTTGGTACGTTTTTTTTGGCTTCCTTCCTTCCTTCCTTCCTTCCTTCCTTCCCTTGTCTTCCTTCCTTCCTTCCTCCCTCCCTCCCTTCCTTCCTTCCTTCCCGATGCCTATCCTTCCTGGAACCCTCTGGAGCCTTCTGAAACCCTGGAACCCTTTGATGCCCCCTGAAAACTTTTAGGAACCTTGCAACAACTGTACGAATTCTTTAGAACCTTTCAGTTGTTTGGAAATGCGTGGAACGCTTTAGGAGCCCTTCACCCTGGCGCAACCTTGGAACTGTTCTTGATTTTGTAACTCTGTCTGTAACGCCAAGTCTGCATTGGACCAATCGGCCCGCCTTGTCCGTGCTCTCCATGGAAGCACCTGCCTGGCAGCTCTTCAGAGCCCTCTGAACTTTGCTTTACCCTTCAAAACCGTACAGAACCGTCTGGAACCCGTTGGCAAGAACTTGTCAGGAGGCCTTCTTGGAACCCCTTTGCCCTCTGGAGTTCTTCTGAGTGGAAGGCACGTCAAAAGAGCCGTGACCATCAATTAAATTCTATCGGAAGAAATATAGTTGCCCCCAAGACATCAATGGCAAGGCGGACCCTGAACAAAAACGGGCCCTCTGGAAGCCTGCTGGACACTTTGACCTCGAAGTCTTCATGAACACGCCCTGAAACTCCTTGCAGCTGTTCAGACCACCCCTGGAACACTCTGGAGCCCTGCAACCTTTTGATGCCTTTTGGTACGTTTTTGGTTCTGACCCCTTTGCATGCAATTTTTTCTGGAACCCCTCTGCAGCCCCTACTTGTGGCAAGCCCCTTCAAACAAAAGTGGACCCTGCCTGCTTACTACACAATCCGCCTCCTTGCCCGTGTCCGCAACGGTTTTTTTTGGGGGCTTCTGAAACTCCCTAGATTCTGCAACATTTTCGATTTTTTAAAAACCGTATAGAACCTTCTGAAACCTTTCTGGAACTGTCTGGGACCCTTTGGCAAGAAATTTTCAGGAACCCTTCTTCGAACCCATTTCCCGACTTTCCAACCCGTTCACACCTTTTGGAAGCCCTCTCTGAACCCGTTCACACCTTTTGAGTGTAAGGCACGAAAAGAGCCGTGACCATCACTTGCATTCCAACTGAAGAAACTTTCTGGAAACCTTCTCGCGATTTGGGAAGATCCAGTAAGTTCAACGGCGCTTCGAAAAACCAGCGGAGGGGCTGGGTGGCACCTCCTTCATGCAGACTAGGATTGACTGCAGTCTTGGTGTGGTGCTCATTCAAGGGTGTAATTAAATTAGCTGAAATTTACGGAGGGGGAAAGAATGGAGTTTCAGAGGATCTAGCAGCGGCACTTCTGAAGAAACGGCGGGGAGAGTTTTTGACCTGGGGACGGTGGTGGGGCAACAGGCTGTTGCCAAGCGCCTCTTGGAGTCCTCTGCACGCTGAGCCCTCTGAACCTTTTGAAGCCTCTAGAGGTCTGGCGCCCCTTCGGGATGCTTCTGGAACCCTTGTGGAAGGCCCTTTAGCCCTTTGAAATTCTCCACAACTGCTTTGGAATCTTGGAGTGGGAAGTGAAGCTTCCTTTGGGACCTCCCTGGAACGTGTCTGGAGCCGTTGCGGAACTGCCGTGAACCCTTTTGGAATCTTTCGAACCCCTCGCACCTTCTCGAACCTTTCTGAACGGCAAGTCTGAGCCTTTGGAACTTTGGAACTCGCCTGCCTTGCCCGCGCCCTTGTCTTTGGCTCTGGAGGCCTCTGCCTGACATCATTTTTTGTAGTTGGAGAAGGGTGTGATTCGGGTTTTTCAACCCACTTATGCAGAGCATGTAAGATGGAGCTTGTAAGCACTCCCAGCCTCACTCGTCGCGAGCGGTTTTTTTGCCCTTTGCCGTTTTTGCCCCTGTGTGTCCTGTGCGCAACATGCGTCATCAGTACGGCAGCAGCCTTGCACGCCTCCTCGCTCCACGCCTCCTGCTCTGCATCACCTCCTGCCTGCCGGCTGTAAAGCAGATCAACATTGCTAAGGCTGACATCAGCCTTCCGAAGTATCGCCAACATAAATCCATTGCAAACGGAGGGCCCTTTAAAACCTAGAGGGCAATTTCCGGCGCTTCAGAGAATATTTGGTGGATTCTGAAACCGCCGTGTATGGCTATTGTGTGGATTCTCGCCTCTGAACCTTCAGCCTTCTGAAACTCTCTACAGTCTGGAACACTATCGATCCCTTCAACACCGTATAGAACCTTCTGAAACCTTTCTGGAACTGTCTGGGAATCTTTGGCAAGAACTTTTCGGGAACCCTTCTTCGAACCCGTTTGCTGACCCTTCACACCTTTTGGAAGCCCTCTGAACCCTTCTGAGTGCAAGGCACGTCAAAAGAGCCGAGATCTAGCAAGTTCAACTGCGCTCCGAAAAGCCAGCGGAGGGGCTGGGGGGCACCTCCTTCACGCAGACTAGGATTGATTGCAGTCTTGGTGTGGTGCTCATTGAAGGGTTGAATTCAATTGGATGAAATTAGCAGCGGCACTTCTAAAGAAACGGTTTGACCTGGGGACGGCGGTGGGGCAACAAGCTGTTGCCAAGCTGAGCCCTCTGAAGCTGCCTTCAAACCTTTTGAAGCCTCTAGAAGTCTGGCACCTTTGGAACCCCTGCGACGCCCTTCGGGATGCTTCTGGAACCCTTGTGGAAGGCCCTTTAGCCCTTTGAAATTCTCCACAACTGCTTTGGAATCTTGGAGTGGGAAGTGAAGCTTCCTTTGGGACCCTCCCTGGAACGTGTCTGGAGCCGTTGCGGAACTGCCGTGAACCCTTTTGGAATCTTTCGAACCCCTCGAACCTTCTCAAACCTTTCTGAACGGCAAGTCTGAGCAGGCTCCTTTGGAACTTTCCGCCTGCCTTGCCCGCGTCCTTGTCTTTGGCTCTGGAGGCCTCTGCCTGACATCATTCTTTGTAGTTGGAGAAGGGTGTGATTCTGGCCTCTGAACCCACTTATGCAGAGCGTGTAAGCTGGAGCTCAAAAGCACTCCCAGCCTCACTCGTCGCGCGTGGCCCTTCTGCCCTTTGCCGTTTTTGTCCCTGCGCATCCTGTGCACAACATGCGTCATCAGTACGGCAGCAGCCTTGCACGCCTCCTCGCTCCACGCCTCCCGCTCTGCATCACCTCCTGCCTGCCGGCTGTAAAGCAGATCAACATTGCTAAGGCTGACATCAGCCTTCCGAAGTGTCGCCAACATAAATCCATTGAAAGCGGAGGGCCGTCTAAAACCTAGAGGACAATTTCCGGCGCTTCAGGGGGGCGCGTGGCTATTGTGTGGATTCTGAACCCGCCGCTAGTGTGTGAATTCTGGCCTCAACCCTGGAGCCTTCTGAAACTGTCTAGATTCTGGAACATTCTCGATCCGTATAGAACCTTCTGAAACCTTTCTGGAACTGTCTGCGACGCCTTGGCAAGAACTTTTCAGGAACCCTTCTTCAATCCCGTTTGCTGACCCTTCACACCTGTTGAAAGCCCTCTGAACCCTTCTGAGTGCAAGGCACGTCAAAAGAGCCGTGACCATCAATTACCTTCTAACTGAAAAACTTTCTGGAAACCTTCTAGCGATTTTTTGGGTAGATCCAGTAAGTTCAACGGTGTTTCGAAAAACCAGCGGAGGGGGTTGGGAGGCACCTCCTTCGTGCAGACTAGGATTGATTGCGTTCTTGGTGTGGTGCTCATTCGGTTTAATTAAATTAGCTGAAATTTACGGGGGGGAAAAGAATGGATTTTCAGAGGATCTAGCATGATCAAGCAGCGGCACTTCTAAAGAAACGGCGGGTGGAGTCTCTGACCTGGGGACGGCGCTGGGGCAACAAACTGTTGCCAAGCGCCTCTTGGAGGCCTCTGCACGCACGCTGAGCCCTCTGAAGCTGCTTTCGAACCTTTTGAAGCCTCTAGAAGTCGGGCACCTTTGGAACCCCTGTGAAGCCCTTTGGGATGCTTCTGGAACCCTTGTGGAAGGCCCTTTAGACCCTTTGCAATTCTCCAGAACTGCTTGGGAAGTGAAGCTTCCCTTGTGTACCTCCCTGGAACGTGTTTGGAGCCGTTGCGGAACTGCCTTGAACCCTTTTGAACCTCCTCGAACCTTCTTGAACCTTTCTGAACGGCAAGTCTGAGCAGGGCTCCTTTGGAGCTTTGGACCACTCCGCCTGCCTCGCCCGCGTCCTTGTCTTTGGCTCTGGAGGCCTCTGCCTGACATCATTTTTTTCTGTAATTGGAATCGGGTGTGATTCTGGCCTCTGAACCTTCTGCCCTTTGCCGTTTTTGTCCCTGTGCATCCTGCGCACAACATGCGTCATCAGTACGGCAGCAGCCTTGCACGCCTCCTCGCTCCACGCCTCCTGCTCTGCATCACCTCCTGCCTGCCGGCTGTAAAGCAGATCAACATTGCTAAGGCTGACATCAGCCCTCCGAAGTGTTGCCAACATAAATCCATTGAAAACGGGGGGCCCTCTAAAACTTAGAGGACAATTTCTGGCGCTTTAAAGGGGCGCGTGGCTATTATGTGGATTCTGAACCCGCCGTGTGTGGATTCTGGCCTCTGAACCCGCCTACCGCCCCTGCTAGATATGTCAACCTTCAGCTTCTATTTTCGAGGCCGCTAGAACCCTAGCTGATTTAGCCCAGACTTCGTGGAACAGACTTGGTTGGCGGAGCCGGCAAGCCCGAAAGTGATCTAGCCAAGACTTGGTGTGCGCAAGTCTGGTAGTGGAAACAAGGCTTGGTCGATCCAAGTCTGGCACGGAACCCGAAAAAACATGTCCCTGTGCGTGCCCCTAAGATCAGCAAGGTCAAGAAAGTCTGGTACGGAACCGGATAAAAACAAGCCCCCGTGCGTGCCCCCAAGATCAGCCAGGTCAAGCAAGGCTTTTTCGCCACGCTGAGCACTGGAAGGAATACCTTGCTCGACCTTGAATTGCTCGGATTCAAGCACTGTAGTGAGACCGATTGACACATATTCGACATGGAACAAGAGGGCCATTCGGGCTTGGCGTTGTGTAATCCAAAATGGGTAGCTTCCTTTTGCAAATACCAAAGTTGTACCCCAAAAAACAAGCCATTCTTGTGGGGCCCAGGCCTGGCAAGGCAAGCAAAGAGCCTCGAAGTGACTTTGCGAAAACTTAGCGGGCCCAATTCTGGCATGAAGAGGCGCTGGAACCCAAACTTGCTGAAACTGACACCAGCCGTTCAAACTGCCGCAGCACAAATCCAATGCAAACAGAAGGATGTGGCCGTAATTATATTCTCTGAACTTGCAACCTTGAGAAGGCCCGTGACAAGATTCACGAAGTAGACCTACTTCGGGCAAAATCTGGAACAAAAGCAGGATCTTCGGTCGCCCTCTGAAC